TTTTTTTTTTTTTTAGGTATTATATCTGCAAATGTTTTCCTGTGTACTTTCTGTAGAGGTGAAGAAGCTATGACAAGATTTTTTTTTTTTTTGTCTTTCTGAGGTGGTCTTGCGAAGCAATTCAGGCTGGCCTTGAACTCACTTTGTAGTCCAAGCTGGTCTCAAACTTTAAACGATCCTCAGTTTTCTGAGCTCTGGGATTACAGATGTGCAACACCATGCCTGACTATTAAACCTGATCTTGAAATCAGAATATGTTGGTTCTCTAAGCAGGACAAAGATATTTTATTTGTTCTCTTCCTAGATGGAATTTTTCCTTCTAGTTTAACTTTCCTCTAGTTCAACATACATATAATTTTATACACAAATTGCATAATGCTACAGGTTTAAAAAACTAGTTTACACAGGCTTGTAATACAATTTAATCAATGTAGAAGTGCATAGTTTTTTTGCTATAATTTTATATTAACTTTTTAAAAAGGATTAATAAAATTTTCCCGGCTTTTTGTGAGTGAAATTTGAACGTGAGTCTGTTGGAAATAGAGGCAGATATAGTTTAGTTTCTTGTAGTCTGCTGCTTCTCCACTAAAGAGAGTAGAGCAAGCGCTGGCTAATGTTGCCAGCCATACTGTGTAAGCAGAAATGTATAACTTATAACCAAAGCTCTCTTGCTCTCCCCCCATGAGACTGGTATAAATTTTTCTGATCCCTTTTTGATGTGGCAATTTAGACACTATACTAAGCTGGTGATACCAGCTGATGTGAACTGAAGAGAGTCTATTGCTAGTCTTCACTGCTTGTCTTTGAGATAATAAATCACCTTTAAATCCATTTCAGCAAGTTCTTCATGTTTTTATTATTTTTTTCTTCATGTTTTTAGTAGCCAGAGGCTTGTGTTCAATGTGGAGTTTTAAAAAATCATTTATTTATTTGGGACAGGGTCTCACTATGCAGCTCGGACTCATAGTGATCCTCCTGTCTCAGCCTCCCCAGCGCTAGGCCTACAGGTGTGCGCCACCACATCCGGTCTCTGGCAGGCACAGCATGTAGTGCCAGGGATTGAACCCTGGTTCCTGCACTTGCCAAAGCAGGTGCTTAGTCCACTGAGTTATCTCACCTGCCCTCTAAATTTTTTTTTTGAAATTTTGGAAAAAACAAAACAAAATTTAAAATTTTTTAATTTTATTTTCCTTTGCAGATTTAATCGAGAGACTGACTTCACTATAGAAACATAATTGTCTTGATGGTTGGGGAAAGATAGTGGTGACAGGCACTGGAGAAACAGCTCTGAAACGCTAAAACAATGAGCATGCTAAAACCAAGTGGGCTGAAGGCCCCCACCAAGATCCTGAAGCCTGGAAGCACAGCCTTGAAGACACCTGCGGCTGGTAATGCTTTATGCTTTTCCTTTGTCTTTCCTTTTTTTTTTTT